AACATTATAATTTTTTGTTTCCTTAATATAATTTGGCAAATTCTTAAAAATTTTGAAGCTAGAAAAATAGGGTGACTTTTTTTTATTTTTTATTATTATTTTTTTAATGTGCTTTCAACAGGCCCCAGGCCCAATTACAGAAATACACAATGACAAACACAAATAAACAACCATACCCCTGGTGGGATTCGAACCCACGACCTCTCGGCTTGTAGTCCGCAGTGCTAACTACTACACCACCGAGGGCGGTGTTTTAAACAAAGAAGTTGTGTGCATAATAAATACTCTATTTGCTGATGTTCCTCTTCCCCAAAAAATTATATTACAAGATAGACTGTTGTTTAGTATCATTAGGGCAAAGTTTGAAGCGCTTAGTTTTTGGCAAAGGTTATCTATTTGGTCCTCCCAGTTTATCTGAGCATCCACTATTAGCCCCAAAAATTTCACCTTTTTCGATATGTTTAAATTAAGGTAATTAAGGTTTTTCAAGCCACTTAAACGGAGAAAGAAGTATACATATTCAGTTTTTTTAGAATTTAAAATAAGACGGTTTCTGGTGGACCATTTTTTAAAACTGTTGTTAACCTCATCAACATATTGTTTGAGTTTCTCAGGATTCGGTGCTGTGTACGTTGACATTGTTAAATTGGTAAAAAACATTTTTTAGTAAAAATATATTTACAATTTTCTTTTACAAACAAACACACACAATAAAAAAAAATTACATACAATTAAAGCAGGTGTTGATTCAACACTGTTGAAGATAATTAAGCAATTGTTGATGTTTTTCATCGGCAGTTTCTGCTATTTTTTATTCTACGTCATCACTTGAAGATGATGTTAAAGAATCATTCTGCGTTGATTTAAAGAGCTGCTTCAAAATTTTAAGTTTCATGCTAGTACATTGTTCAACAACAACCCCCAAATTGTTTTGTGGTAAGGAAAGTTTAACATTCAGAATTCTTAAAGTTTAAAAATTTTTCAATTTTTTGTTGAACTCCTCCTATTTTGTGAATTCCTGCATGCTGTTTGGTGCATTTGCCGTTTCTGTAGTCTACAAAAAGCGTCGAGTTTGAAAATTGAAGGGTCGTCTTCCGTAACTTTGACTTTCTCTTTAAGAATATGAAAAGCTTTTCGTAACTGTAAAATCGTCTAAAATAAGTTTATCAACAAGAAGTTACTTACGTAGAAATGTCCATATTTTCCTAAAGTTTAAGACACGTTTTTGTCATCGGAATTTTGTCCACAAAGTGTTAGGCGCGTAACTTTTTGTTAGCTGAAACACATAGCAGAGTAAAACATCTTCGCTTATTATTTATACCTTTTTTCTGATAGTGGTTAGTATTTTTTCATAGCTAATCTTGGCCTTTTCTGGCAATAAATGCGGCCGCTTCAGAACGAATATTTTTTTGATATCTTCTTGAATGTCCATCACGTTTTTTAACGAATTTTACAAAAAACAACCGTTACCAATAGCTATCAAAGCCCAGTTGCAGGGATGCCAAAATCTGTCAAAAAAAATCCGCTAGATTTTGTTTGAATCCACCTTAATCACAAAAATGACACATTGATACAATGCAAATTGTCAATTTGACGTTATTCAGTATTGTTAATTGTGTCATTTTTGTAATAAAGGTGCATTTAAACAAAATCTAGCGTATTTTTTTGACAGATTCTGACATCCCTGCCCAGTTGTCTTAATAAAAGCATTGATTTTGCTAGCTTGACGTTTTTTAAATTTGACCATGACATTAAAATTGACAATGTCAAATTCTAACAAATTTACTGAAAAGGTATTTTGAAAAGTATAGAACAACATACCGCCGATATTGGCTTTATTTTTTATCTCTATTTTATTTTTTAGATCATAACACTGTAAATTTTAAACTTAAAGCATCGATAAATGTCAATAACTTTCAAAGAAAATTGCACTTGATTCTAAGGCAAACTAAAAGCATACACAAGGGCTTTATTTGCATTTTAAATCGACTCCATGACGCTTAAGTGGAAACATAATTAAAGGATATTAAACACAATAAAATAAAATAGCTTTACCTCTGATTTAATCTCAAACGATCGCGTTAAAAGTCAAAAGGTTTCTTTAATTAAACCGTAAAATAACCCTAATTTGACTAACAAAATAGAGATTTTAATGGTTTTGCAAAATTAGTCTGAGTTTAGTTTAGGGACAACACTTTTCGTGTACAAGTTCTATAAACCTTATACCACTTTTAGTTTTATGTTAAAACCAAGCAAATTATAGAAAATTGTATAATTAGGTTATAAAAAATTATTTAAAATTTGTTAAAATTGATTGTTTGATTGCTTAAGATTAAATTCTAGGCAAAATGCATACAATCAAATTTCTTAGAATATAATGAACTTTTTGTTTTGTTTTAAAAATGTTCCTAGATAAGGTGAATTTTAATTTATCCTTAAAAAACTTGACAACGCTGTATGTTTTATAAACTAGTATATTATACGTCTAAAAAAAGGTTACTAAGGAAACATAACAAACAAGGAAACTGCGGCTAGCTAAATGGTTGACAAATGTTTTTTCTGACAGTTTGTTTCGAAAATTTAAAACTATAAATTATCATAACTTTGTTGTTATTAACATTTTATTTTGAAAACGACATATAAAATTGTTTTTCTACTCCTACCTTTAACGCCCTTTATCGTACATGTTTCCATGACACTAAGTGACCTTTTAAATACACATTGACAAGTTGTGGCTTTATGGCGCTTTAGTCACGGGCTGAAGTTAGCAACAGGTTTTTAGTCACGGGCTGAAGTTAGTTAACAGTTGTCAAATGTCATACAATCGTTAAAATAAAGTGCATTTCTTGTAAAATAATACTAAATGCGAAAATTATTTTATCTCCACGCGGTCTATAATTTAAACTTTATTGTTGTCAACATACCTTGTTATGGCCTAGGCCGATAAAAATTTTTATGAGGCAAGTAATTAGTTTGATTTTTTCTCGCTAGGGGTATTGTTTTGACAAATTAATCCTTTTCTGAGAAATTAACGTACTAAACTGGTTTAATTTATTTATAATAAGCACTAATTTGTTTGTTTCACTGTTAATGTTTAATATTTTTCATTTAATTATTGTAAAATTAAATATGATTAATAAAACAAAAAGTGAGGCTAGGCAACCAGGAAAACGCACGATTCTTTTTCTACGATTTAAATTATCTTTAAGTTTTAATTTGCTTTAAGTTTTCAGTGAAATTAAATGTTAAACACAGCTTAAACATTCCAAACTACCTATTTTTTTAAATAAAAATCCAAACAAATTGAAATTAGATACCTACCTATTTATTAAACAATTAATTGAATTCAATGTAATAGCAAAAATCCATTTCTACTTAAATCATGTTGCAAGGTATTGTCAAACTATTACTGCTTTTAAGAGCAATAATAATTATTGTACATTTAATGTAACCTTTAGCTAATAAATAAATGAGATTCTTAAAAAGTGAGGTTAGGCCGCTTTGATGTTCAATTAAATTGACCTATATAAAGTGCTTTGAAGATAAAATGTTATATGACATTCGGCCAAGAAGTGCCTTTTTATGCTTCGCTCAAACCTTGAGCTTAGCACAAAAAGCCTTACTTCTTAACCTAATGACATAAATAACTATTATTATCTCAAGACAAAAATACAAAAGTATTAAATAGTTTCTCAAAGCCAATATTTGAAAAGTTTATATGAACATTGTACTGACCTTTTAATTTCGCCGGCAGTAAACTATAACTTAAATTCGGGCACGGACTCCACTGTAAAGTGCTCATAAAACATTTTCTTTATTTTCAATGTGAAAACTGTCAATTTTCAAGAAATACATTTCGATTTATAACCTGACACACAGATTCCCCTATTGTTTCATAGATGGCGCTCTATACAAATTTTTGTTTTAAATCATTTTAAGAAAATAATAAGAATTTGTCGTAGAAAAAGTATAGTATGCACCTCGTTTATAAACTTTTCTACACACTCATTAATTTAAGCACTCGCTCGCAAGCTCGCTCGTGCCTAAATTAAATTCGTGTATAAAATTGCGTTTAACAAACTTGATACATAATATACTATTATCTACTCCAATAGTTTAATATTGTTTTTTTGTGAATAATGATAAACATAGATTATGCGCATTATTTACTCGGATGATTTAAGTCTCTCGTCTGGCGACTCGAGACGCAAACCTTATCTCTCGTATAATAATATACTAATATTATATTATGCGAAATGCAACTAGCGAGTTTTGAAAATAAACGACTCATATTTAATAAAATTTGCTACAAATTCTGGATGAGATTTATGCAAAAAAAATAAAAAATTTACTTCCTCATCTATTTCGATTTTATTAAAACTTAGGTTCGCTTATTAAAATAATGGTGAGCTTTTGACGTACCTAATTAGATTTAATTTATTATTTTTAAACACACCAAGTATTATTTTTTAAGAACAAATATAACACGCCACTGAAATAAAATGAAAAGTCATTTGATTTGATATAATGTATCAAATATATTTGTTCCAGAAAAATCAATTAAAAACAAAACGTGTTTGTCTCTTAACTGTTTTTAGCATATAGCTTCGTTATTGAGGAATTTTACAATATCTAACAGGAGCAAAGAGCGCTTATATTATAGCCGAGCTTTTGCATGTTTGGAACAAAACTTTAAATTTAAAAATAAATACAAGTAATACATTTTGTCCTAGGTAGATAATGTTGACGATTAACATTTTATTATAAACTATAACTTTACAGTTACCTGATTTCCAGCTAAATGCGATATATGTAACCAGTCTTCCTATAGGAAAAATTACATATATATAATTTCAATCTGCTCAAAATGTAGGAATTGTTGAAAATGTAAAATAAAAATATTTTTTACATTGTTATTGTAATTTTAGTAATTTTTTGTAATGTTAAATTGACACAAACAATTCTTTGACACATATTTCAAAAAAAATATTTTGTTTCAGCGTTAACTGAAAAGCTAGAAGAAGTAATAAAGAACGACAAATTCGTGCTGTCCCTGAAACATCTGAAGCCCAAAAAAAGGAATCGTGGGACGGTGGAAACCTTATTTTCCGTCGATTTTCCCGGAGCCGAAAATAAGTTCATACTGAAGTTGGATAGAAAAAACAAACGAGGTTTGTATCGTGTTTTGTTGATTTTTAGCAATACAATTTAGTTTTTTTCACTTAAATATCATATAGACATTAGACAAATGTTTTATATGGTTTATATACATAATATATAATGTAAAATTGGTTTTAGTGGTGGTTGAGACATTGGAAGACAGCAGGAAGAGATCTCAACATTTCACAGTCGATATCCTGAATGAAGACACGACCATTAAGTCGTTAATTTTGGATGTAAATCAAATACAACCTGCCCCACACGCCACCCTGTATATCGACTGTATTTCATATGGAATGGTTGCCACCCCCACATCTTTGAAGGAAATGTACATCGGCATGAGACATCCAAGAATGGAATTGGTAAATAAGAACATATTTCTTAAATAGACAATAAATGGCTAAAGTTAGCAACAGGTTTTTAGTCATGGGCAAAAGTTAGTTTTAAGTTAGTTAATAGTTGTAAAATGTTATACAATCGTTAAATAAAGTGCCTTTCTTGTAAAATAATACTAAATGTGAAAATTATTTTATTATCTCAATACAAAATACAAAAAAATTAAATAGTTTCTTGACGCCAATATTTGAAAAGATTATATTTACTTTATATTAGTAGTTAACTGATACAGCGTTCAATTTTGGGTACAGTGCCCATAAAACATTCTTTTCTCTTTTACTGTGAAAAACTGCTTCTATATAGAAGTATATTTTGAAGGGATTTATTTTTATTTACACAGACAAATTTGATATTTTAACGCCGGTAGATTCCCAAGTTAGAAATTCTAACGGGAATTCCAATAAATACAACTTTAACATTTCCCGTGTATGAATTTTTAATTCTTTGTGATAAAATTTTGCAATTATAGTATTTTCTTGACATAATTTAATAATAATATTTTAATATTATTTAATATTTTAAAGTATCAATAATTGTTAAGTTTCATTAAAATAATAACGGCATATCCTAAATAAAGTTAAACTTTGATAACGTTACTTTTAAATGAATATATAACAACTGTTAACTTTATACAAAAATACGCTGTAAATGGTTTTATAACAAATAAAACGATTTGTTAACTCGTTTGCTTATGTTCGGAATTTTATTTTTCAATAATTTTAGCTAATTTTTACCTAAAATATTAGACTATATAGGACCATTGATTTTTTAAGGCAAACTGCTTGAAATGAATTCAGAGCAATATTCCCCTTTTAAATTAGGGAATTCTTTAACTAATATTTTTAAAGAAAATAATACAATTAATTAAGCAAAATCACTTAGGTTTCAAAGATGATACACCTTAGATCGTAAGGGATAATGCCTGAGAATAAAAGAATAAATTTCCTGTTTCTAAGGCCATTTGCTTAAACTTTTAGGTATATTTTAGCTAAGTTTTCAGGCAAATCATATATATTTTTAGTGAAAGTCGTCGTATTTATAACGGTAAATTTATCTATTTTTTTTAGATAATAGGTATACCCTAAAAAATTCTATTAATTTTCTAGTGAAATTTCACTAATTATCTAGTGAAGTTTTACTAATTTTCTAGTAAAATTCTACTTATTTTCTAGTGAAATTCCACTATTTCATTAGACAAAAATATAAGGGGAACAAGACTTGGCGGTGGGGGCATTTATAAATGTATATAGGGATAAACACTACTAGGTTATCGGTAACTTTTTACAATAGTATATTTCCAAAATAGTTTATTACCAAAGCAATGCGTGAGAATAAAAATAACATTATAAATATCTTCTCTCCTATATAATGTTATTTTTATTCTCACGCATTGCTTTGGTAATAAACTATTTTGGAAATATACTATTGTAAAAAGTTACCGATAACCTAGTAGTGTTTATCCCTATATATATAGGGCAATGTAAATGAGAAAATAATGACATTATAAATCCCCCTTTTAAGTGCTGATGGGTAAAATAAAAAATACATTTATTTTAGTTAAATTGAAAATGTATATTAATTTATTATAAATATTTATAAATATATATAAATAAAAAAAATAAAAGTAACAAAAACGAATTACATTTATTTTAATAATACCTAGCTAATTTATAATTTTAATAATACTTATAGGTATACCTACTTTATAAGTTTAATAAAGTTTCTTTTGGCATAGGAATTTTCTTCCAAGTTAGGACTCATTTATCTTTATGTCCTAGGCGAATTAACAACGGCGGTTCCGGTACTACAGGGTTAAAAATAAATTGGGGTCAATGGGAAATTCCATTTGGTTTGGATTACTTAACTATAGTGCTACAAAATGTTCACTTATAGAACAATAATTGTTAACTATGTTGTTATATCAATAGCACACAACACGGTCTTTACGCTTTCGTTGATTTTGGCATTATGGTGGACAATATAGGCGCGAATATTTATCGTAAAACGTCGGTATTAGCGATCGTAGCCGATTGCAAGTAAGTCACTAATATTTAAAGGAATTTACCTAAATTATTTCAATAATTTGACATAATAATTTAGAAGAATTACCTAAATTAAAAGCAAAATTGTCGTACCTAAAAGTAATTGAGATTTTGACTAAATATTTATGTTATCTGCCTATCTTTTTAAATTTGACAAGTTTATTAAGTAAAGTATGAATATTTATCTAGAAGTTAGTGAATACACCATAGAACTAAGGCATTAGTTTCTGCCTAATAAACGAGAAGGTAAATTGCTTTACTCCTTTAAGCATATTACCTTATTTTTCCTTAACTAATTCTGATTAGGTATTTCAAAAGGCTTGATTTTGAACGGTGTGACTACGCACTCTCTCTAAAGTTATCAAAGCGTTTTGAATGTTCAAAAACGCTGTAAGTTCTCAAAAATTGTTTATAAAACGCAGAAAAAAAATGTTAATGAAAAACTCGTATGCGTAGATAAATACGCAATAAAAAAATTGCAATGCCCAACCCCATTGCTTAATAACTATAGTTATTAAGCAATGGGGTTGGGCATTGCAATTTTTATATTGCAATTATAATTTTAAAAACCTTTTTTTAAGTTTTTAATTTTAAAATCAAAATTGTGATGACTGGACTTTTTGATGAAGATTCAATGATAGTCTTATTTATTTAACATAGATAAATCGCGATAATATACTCTACTAACCTGCAGAAAAAAAGTCGTTCATATATATAGTTCCGTTAATCGGGGACATCAATGCCGTATTGTCTCATGTTAAATTCAATGTTATGTTAAAGCGAGCATACGTTTCAGATCTAGAGAGTGAAGTAACCAGTCTTGCCCATAATAGTTTTCGGTATTTATGGTATGACGGTTGCTCAATACTTCAATCGGAATTTGGTTTTGCAAAACAATGTTAACCGAGAATAACAGTTTAATTTTACTGAATTTACAACTTTTAATAGTATATTATGTATCAAGTTTGATAAACGCCATTTTATACACATATTTAATTTAATTAATGAGTGTATAGAAAAGTTTAGAAACGAGATGCATACTATACTTTTTCTAAGACAAATACTTTTTATTCATACAATCGTTAAAATAAATTGCCTTTCTTGTAAAATAATACTAAATGTGAAAATTATTTTATTATCTCAATACAAAAATACAAAAGTATTAAATAGTTCTCAACGCCAATATTTGAAAAGTTTATATGAACATTGTACCTTTTAATTTCGCCGGCAGTAAACTATCACTTAAATTCGGACACGGACCCCACTGTAAAGTGCTCATAAAACATTTTCTTTACTTTCACTGTGAAAAACTAACAATTTTCAAGAAATACATTTCGATTTATAACCTTTATAATCTGTGTTTATGAAATAAAAAAAATTGACATTTTACGGTGACACACAGATTCCCCTATTGTTTCATAGATGGCGCTCTATTCAAATTTTTGATTTAAATCATTTTAATATTATAATAAGTACCTATTTGTCGTAGAAAAAGTATAGTATGCACCTATTTATTAAATCTAGTTTAACAACTTATTTTCCTCTATAGATTTTTTCCAAACTCAGTGTATTTCTTTATTATATAAAAGAAAATATTTACACCTTAAACTAAACTAATCAAAGTTATAGAACTTAAACGTAATTTAATCTTTAATGAGAAAAGTTTAATGTTGTTTACCTATTTAATTTAGTATTTATTTTTTAATTATTTATTTAAATTGTACTTTCTTGAATTAGAAATTAAATTTAAATTTTCCTTTAGTCTATAACCAAAATCCCAGATATTCCCAAAGCCTAATACACAGATTTTTAAATCAGCCAGATTAGCAATTATAGATAACTTTCAAGATATCTATTTAACGTCACCGCTCATGTATTTCCCCATTTAAACGCCGAAATTATCTAAACAAATACCAAGCGAACTTTCGATTTCCCCCAAGGTAAACTTTCCTTTTGACAAACCCAGGATTGGGCGTTATTTATATCTGTCAGATACACCGCATCCAGGCTCTTGTTTATGTGAAAATTTATCAGGAAAAAATATTTTTTCTTAAAAGTGTATTTTATTATCTGATATTTTTTATTGCGGATTCTTTATAAGTACAGATAGTACAATTAAAAGAAAAGAGAATATTGAAATGAAATAATAAAATAATTTGTAAAAATTCGATAAGATATATTTTATGTTATAAATATGTTATAAAACCGCTTAACATACGAGGTGTGTTCAGAAAATATCGGGAATGTCGCCTTCAAAATAGTCCCCATTGGATATTATGCACATGTGCCAGCTCTTCTTCCAATACTCGAAACACTTCTAAAACACGATCTTTGGGATAGCCTTTAGTTCTTTCAGGGATGCGCTTTTAATGTCATCTATGCTTGAAAAAGGTTCTCTTTATTTTTGGGAATAGGAAAAAGTCAGACAGAGGCATGTCTGGCGAATATGGAGGCTGGGGCATCATTACAGTATTGTTTTTGGCCAAAAATGTTGTTCAAAATTTAACAATTTTAGAACAAATATTGCTGCCACGCGTTTCATACCCAAAACATTCGAAAAAATTTCATGGGATGAGCCAATCAATATACCAACATCATCAGCGACTTCTCTAAAGGTTTATAACCATTTCTTCCACTTTTTCCATGTTTTTATCGGTTGTTAATGCGCTTGTGCGTTCGTCATCTTCAACGTCTTCACGGCCATCTTTGAAACTATTATACCACTTGTAAACTGTTGTTTTACTTATAGAAGACTCACCATAGGCCTTTGTTAACATTTCACAGAATTTATTTCATTTTTTAAGCAAAATTGGATACAAATTCTTTGATCCATTTCTTTTAACGAACGAAAAATCGCCGAGCTCATAAAACACGTCTAACCTTAGCGGATGCCACAGACAAAGTAAACAATGAAAACAGCTAAA